ATGAGAAAAAAAGTCACAAAATTATATATCCACAATTAGTGTGGGTCTAAGAACTGTAAAAACTGTAAATTTAGTAGTCTTGTTAATCATGAAATACCATGTCACTTTTCTGGGTTTGGTGACTCATAAGATGTCAGGATGAAGAAAGCACAGCATTCTTTTTTCCTTTTTGATTCAAGGTCTCACTATGTATCCCTGGCTGGCCTGGAAATTGCTATGTCGATCAAGCTGGTCTCAAACTCACAGACACATATCTACTTCTGCCTCCTTAGTGCTGGAATTAAAGTTGTGCACCACCACACCCAATTGCCCAGCCTTCTATACTAATTTTGCCACTTCCTATAATTTTTTCAAAATAAAGTTATCCTCAAAATAACAGGAGCCATGGGGTCAGCAGGCTTGGCAAGTAAAAGCACTAGGCAAGTAAAAGCAAGTTTTCACTTTTTTTTTACAGACCTTGAGATCCACGTGGTAGGAGGAAAGATCTGACTCCTACAACTCCTACAAGCTGTCCTTTGACCTCAACAGGTAAACCAGGGCACATGGGTGTGCGCACACAAAGTAAATAAACAAAATGCTGGGGGGAGAGGCAGGGAGGTAGGTGTTTGCAGCACCATCATTAGGACTGGAGTTCAGATCCCAGCACCTATATAACAAGCCTCAAATGCCTATTAACTCCAGCATATATACACATACGCTCATGTGCACGAGACCCATACATGCACAAGTAAAGAGATAAAATCTTTTAAAAATAATGGGAGGATAGATAACATGAAAGGCAGAAGGGTAATGAAACAAGAATGGCCAACAACTGTTAACTGTAGAGCTCCTAGGCTTTGCTTTCCTCTATTTAAAATTGTCTATAATAAAACACTAATAAAGATGTAGTCAGGCGTTGGTGCCGCACACCTTTAATCCCAGCACTCAGGAGGCAGAACTCTGTGAGTTCGAGTACAGCCTGGTCTACAGAGTGAGTTCCAGGACAGCCTCCAAAGTCACAGAGAAACCCTGTCTCGAAAAACAAACAAAAACCCACTAGAAAGATATAAGAAAGCCATTTCACTTACAAACCGAAGTATTAACTGAACAGTTTCTCTTGTTTGTTTGTTTTTTTCCTACCATGCATTTCAATTCTGTAAAAATCGTGTTTCTTCACAATGATTTTTGGGCTGGCTCAGCGGGTAAAGGCACTTAACAGTAAATTTTGACAACCTGGTAACCCTCCACAAAGCTGTCCTCTGCCCTCACAAACACCACAGTAACCACACATCGTGTACACTTACAAGATAATCTCTTAATTTTAAAAATAAAGTAATACAAAATGATTTTTAGCAGCTTAAGTTCAATTAATAACTTGTATTTTGCCCTTCTTTTACTGTGTGTGGGGGGGGGCAATTCTTGCTGGGATTGTTTATAAGCAACATCACAGGGGTGGAGGGATTAAACATGAAGAGAATCCTACTGATAATTCTTCCTCTAATATTACACTGATTACATAATGTGAAAATAGTCCGTCTAAATATTCAGATTATGTACTACCCAACTACATTCCTAAAGATCCAAAAAAACTCTTTTCTAAAATTAACCAAAGAGACCCTGCTAGGGAAGATTTACAATCAATGCACCAGTCATTATTCCAACCATCCTCCTTAAACGGGAAATGTCGCCTACTAAGCTCAGCATGTTAGCATGCACCTGTAACTCAGCCGTTCAGATGGGTAGAGAGAGGCAGTAAGGACTGCCTGGGCCGACAAGCTGGAAACTGTTTAAATGAGAGCCAACAAAAAGTAAAGAAGAGAGGAAGAGAGGAAGGGAGGCAGGCAGGAAAGGAGAGAAGGGAGAAGAGAGCACAGAGAGAGGGAAGGGAGAGATTTTTGCCTAAGTTAAAATTAACTTTAAGTGATTCTTTTTAAATTGTCTACAGTCTTTTTACTTTTTTGAACATTTTTTTTAAGTAGCTATTAAGGGCTTGGTGAACACAATACTTGCCATGTAAGCATGAGGACACCCAGCACCCAGGCGCAATGGAGCACAAACACCAGGACTGGGAAGGCAGATCCCTAGAGGTCACTGCCAGTCAGCCTAGCCAAATGCAATAAAAGACCTTGTCTCAAGATAAGGGAGAGCCAGGCAGTGGTGGCACACACCTTTTTTAATCCCAGCACTCAGGAAGCAGAGGCAGGTGGATCACTGTGAGTTCAAGACCAGTCTGGTCTACAGAGAGAGTTCCAGGACAGCCAGAACTACACAGAGAAACCCTGTCTTGAAAACCAAAATAAATAAATAAATAAAATAAAAAGGGAGAGCATTCAAGAAAGGCACCACGTGCAAATGCATGCACACATAAAAAATATTAAAAGGAAATCTGGAAAACTGCACGATGACTATAATTTGCTGAAATATTCAATAAATGTACATGAATATGAAAAGTAACAATTCAATGTTTACTGAAAAAGAATACTTCTTGTCATACAATTGCTTAAGTTTTTTAATATGATTAATTATATCATGGTAAGACTCTTTCCCTTAGTGACTAAAAGTAATTTCTTTTTTTTTTTTTTTTTTTTTGGTTTTTCGAATTGTTTTGGAGGCTGTCCTGGAACTCACTCCGTAGACCAGGCTGGCTCGAACTCACGGAGATCCGCCTGCCTCTGCCTCTGCCTCTGCCTCCCAAGTGCTGGGATTAAAGGTGTGTGCCACCAACGCCCGACTGACTAAAATTAATTTCAATAAAACAAGTTAATTAAAACTAAACTATATATAAAATAACAAAAGGCAAGCTCTGCATTCTCAATGGGACCCTAGGTAAGCCACAATATTTTGCCATCTACAAATCATAAAAGTGACATTTATTGTACTTTCAGCTCCAAAATCTTGTGTTCTCATGCACTCTACCCATGAGCATGAGGACAACTCTGGGGAGGATCAGTCACTCATGTGGTACTGAAAAGGGGTTATCACACTGCAAGTTCCTTTCACAGACACACATTTGGATGGATGGTTAATCTCAATATTAGGTAAGAATTTCTCAGCAATTTACTTATAGAGGCTGTCATGTGCATTGTAGTATATTTAACATCTATCCACCAAAATTAGAAGAAACTCCCATCAAGACAACAAAAAAAAAAACTGCAGCTATTGCCAAAATCATTTCTTATTTGAGAACCAATATATGAAATATAAACATTACAAGGCCTTTTGAAGATGGGAAAGATAGTGATTGTTTTTCTTTTGTGACATAGGTGGAAATACATAAGAAAGGCTAGGAACATTTTCTAACAAAACAAAAATGCCTAATTACAACTACTATGAGGCTCAATTCAAAACATCACCCAAGCATGGTGGCACATACCTTTAGGCCCAGCACTGGAGAGGCAGAGACAGGCAGATTTATTGAGTTGGAAGCCAGCCTGGTCTACAGAGGGAGTACTAGGACAGCCAGGGCTACACAGAGAAACCCTGTCTCAAAAAAAAAAAAAAAAAAAAAAAGACCATTAACCAAATACTATTATATGGCCAATGTGGAAACAAGAATAACAGGATTGTCAAGCTGTGGGAGAGAAACTGGAGAGGTGGTTCCACAGTTAAAAGCAGTTACTGCCTACCAGAGGACCCAGGTTCGAATCCCAGCACCCACAGGGCAGCTCACAATTGCTGCAACTCCAGTTTCAGAGGATCTGACTGACATCCTTGTCTCTGGTCTCTAGGGTCACTGCACACATGTGATGCACAGACATGCATACAGGCAAAATATCCATACACATTAAATTTTAATTTTTTAATTAAAATTCTTTCAATTATTCTTAAAAGCTGTGGGAAACATTCATAAATTTCTAGCTATACCTTGTTAAGCATCCTCAATAAAAAGGTCCAAAGGCTTCATTTTCATTTTTATTTTGAGAGAGTCTGGCCATGTAGCCCAGATTCACCTGGAAGTGGTAATCCTCCTGCCTCAAGCCCCTGAGTTCTGACAGGCCTGTGCCACAGCCAGACCAGTTTTAAACTGAGATTGACTATTAATGCAAGTCCTCTTCTCCCTGGCATTCTGAAAAAACTAAACATTCAAGTTACTTGTAACCACTGAGACTATCCGCATGAAAAACACATCCACCCAGTTAAATGCCACAAGCATCTATATCAATCCATTTACTCAAATACAAATGCAGCATAAATCCCATAAAAGGAATTAACACTGAGTAATATCCTCAAGGCCTTTATGATTTAAAGAAAAGGACAAAGAAATCCCATGCTAATAAATTATACTTAAGGTTACTCGTTTCAACCATAAATTAAATGCTACATTCATTTTCTTAGCTTTTTAATGCTTACTATAAAACCAACTCAGCAGCATTTCCCTCCAAACAGATAAATAGCCAGTTTCATTAGTCTATTCTTGGATAGGTCACCAGACTGGGAATAAGAGACCCAGAGTCTATTCCCAGCTGCAAAACACACTAGAAATCTCAACAAAGTACTCCCTCAGGTTGAGGTTCTACACTTAAACCATGCTGATAACACTATGCAGAAATGGCAGAGAAAACCCAGGACTGTCTTAGATACTCAAAAGACAATTACAAACATATTTTTAGATTTATTAGCTCTAAAATTCTGTTTAACTCATTTATGGTAACATTTAACCCACTTAAAATTTCAAAAACATGTTATTTTTATCCACAAAATAGTCTTTTTCAAAGTTCTATAACAAGTCATACTTATTATATAAAAGACAAATGCAAATGGGAGGGAAAGGCTTTCAGTTTGCATTTCCTCACTTTAGTCTACTACACAAGCAGTCATTCTTTGTCACTATAAAAAGTACTTCGCAGTTTGGAGAGCAAAAGTTTGCCCCACAGCCTAACCCTGGAAAGGCCTGGGAAGCGTTCTCACCATTAACTGTGCAGGTTTTAGTAGCACAGCCAACATAAGGACTGCGGCACAAACACTGTGCCCAAGTCCAAGTTTTAAAACAAAGTTGTCCTGTAAAACAAGTTTAGCCTGACCTTCTTACAAACCATAAAGCTGTAAGCACCATGCAGCCAGCAGCAGGAGAAGCAGCAGCCCCTGGCCCCGGCAGCCCACTGCAACACAGACACTGCACCAAGGCACTGGCAGAGCGGCCCCAGTGCTGCTGCTGAGCCGATCCGGAAGCAGCGCAAAGAGGCCTCGGGCGCACGCGCTCCGCACAAAGGCTCCTCCTCCGGCTCACTTGACTGCCGCCAAGGGGCCTTGGCCGCAAGCGCGTGGGTCCCGCGGGCCTGGCGGCTTGCCTGGGCTCCGCTCGGCCCAGCTCCCCGGATCTGTCCGGAGCTCCAAAAGCCCAGGGAACTTGAGAACTACCTATTCCCGAGTGTCTAAAATAAAAAGTGTGAGGTTTCTGGAGTCTTGGTAAAAACCTGCACCCCTACAAAACGGCAACCTGTCAAGTTACTAGGCAGGCATATGGCAGAAGATGGCCTTCAATAGGAAAGAAATCTTTCAATAGTTTTAGTCCTTATACTTCTCCATCCCTTAATTTATTCATTCTAGTCTTTCCTCCCTTTAGTTTTACACAAGAACTGTATTTTTCCTTAAAGAATTTTTCTCTAACCTATCTTTCCACTTACTCTTGAATACTCTTGAATTTACCTAACAAGTTTCCTAAGTCTCTTCCAGAACACTCCCACTTTGCTACTCAAAAACTCACCAAATTTAGCTTTTATAATTTGTACGTTTCTACCAAATAACTCATAGTCTTCTCAATCACTCGTTTTCCAGGTCTGTTCCCTCAATCTCTTAAAGGTAATAATTCCAAGTCTAACACATTCATATTCTGTGAAACTATTCCCGAAAGGAGTCATTTTAAAAATCCATTTTCTAGGTGTGTCCCACCCCATGTTCTCCCTTTGGCAGTACTAGGGATAGAGTTGAACCCAGGGCATGAATTCTAGACAAGCACTCCACCCCTGAGCTGTATCTCCAACTATCTCCCATCCTGCCTTCAACTTACATCTTTAAAATCTTTAAAAGTGTTCTCTTAAAGTCATTTGAACCACTCATGCCCCAAACCCACACAGGAGGCACTTGATAATGAAAGGAAAAGCTGGCAGGAGGTAAAACGTGACAAAAATGAGTGTTACTACAGAACCGGGCAGGCTAAGCTTGGGAGCAGAGGTCAGGCAAAGCAAAGAAGCAAGGTCTGAGGCTTAAACACCATCCATGATGGTGAGCATATAGAAGACAACTCTGCTTTGTCTTTAAGATTATCAAGTCAATATCTTTAGAGATGTTCAATTAAATAAGTAAGACTAGAATACACATGTAAGAATTTGTCAAAAAATTAAGGGAAAACTAGAACTAACCCAAGAAAACCTATTTAGAATTGTGTGGGAGAGGTGTCTATATATTGGTAATTAATGGGAGGAAAAGCTAACCCTAAAACTAAGAGTGTAAGACAAGTGAGGGATGGATGCCCACAGTCTCTGTCACTGGGGACAGGAGGGCTCTGAGACAGAAGTCAGTTTCAGGCCAGCCTAAGGAAACATGAGGCTGGGGCTCTTATTTAAAAACCCAAGGAAAAGAAGACTGAAAACGAGATAAAAGGCATGGCACACACTTGCTCTCCTGCAAGCCACTCTTCTTCTGAAGCACTGACCTCCTCTTCACTTCCATCCATCTGACTAGCTGCCATCAGCTTATCATACTGCTGACATTCCGGCAGGGCTGTGGCTCAGTTGCCAGTGTATTTCTAGCATGCACCAAACTCTGGGTTTGACTCAAGCAGCACAGAAAACCAGATATGGCACACAAACCTGAAATCCTGCATTTGGGAGGGAAGGGCAGGAGAATCACAAATTCAAGATCATCCTAAACCAGATAGCAAATTCAATCCAAAGTCTGGACTACTATTGGCAATCTCTCAAAGAAGGAAAAAGTACAGTCAACAAATACAACCCTTTCATCTCATCTCTGATATACTTCAACCTCATTTTATGTTTCCTTTCTAATCCACATATCTCTCAGCTAAGTTTATCTACATATTACATTTGAAGGGCTATAATTCTACAAATGTTATTTTGTACAGAAAGTCAAAGAACTGGTCTATTTCTCTCAATCCTGTACCTCAAAAACAAATCTGGGATTTGTTTTCACCTCTTGACCAGACTGCTGTGACCACTTCCTCTTCTCTCCATCTTACCCTCTCCTATATAAACTGCTTCTCGGAGTCTAAAATAAAAGCACCATTCTCCTACTCCTTCAGTGTGATAAAATGTCTTCCTGCTTCTCCTACTACTACTCTAACACTAAAAACTTGCTGTATAGTTTCCATCATGCACTTCAACCTTCCCTTCTGCACCATCCACCAATCTCTGAAATATTTTCAACAATATGCTCAAAAACTTGGTTCAGTAACTTCCTCATTTCCTAAAGAACACATCTCACTTCAGCTATCCACACATACATAATGACAACAACCCACCAACCAGTGACTTTCATACTCTCCACGACTCTCTGCTGGCTACAAACACATATAGTCTATACACACCTCATCTTTTTTGAGACAGGACCTTGCTATGTAGCTCAGGCTGGCTTCAAACTGAGAGCTCGAATTACAAGCATGCACCATCATACCTTGCTTCACCTGCTTTTACTGGCATTTAGTTTCACTTATTCCCTACACACTCTGAAGCTATCAATGCCTTCATTACTGCCCTCCTCAGAATGTCTGTCTTTACTATACTAATAGGCAGCTCTCAAATGATTCTATCCTCATCTGTTTTCTCCACTCATATATTGAGTATTAAAAATATCAGCAGATAGCTGGGCAATGGTGGTAAACACTTTTAATCCTAGTACTAGGGAGGCAGAGACAGGCTGATCTCTGATTTCTGGACCAGCCTGGTCTACAAAGCAAGTTTCAGAACAGCCAGGACTGTTAGACCGAGAAAGCCTGTCTCAAAAAAAAACAAAAACAAAAACAAAAACAAAAAACAAAAAACAAAAACAGCAGAAAGCTATTCTATTCCACAACTTATTCTAAAGATAACTATCCCATCAGCTAATCTAAATCATTTCCATACTTAAAGTGTAATCCTATTCAAATACTTCCATGTTCTTCCATGAAATTCTCAACCATACCTCTGGTACCTATAATCTTCTTTACAGCTTCTAAAATGCAGTACCTTCATCCATCTGTTACTTCTGGCCTCCAGTTTCAGAATAAGGTATTCATCCTTCTTAAAGTAAACTCAACACAATTCCTCCATCTACTGCTTCCATACTCTCCTAGCTCACTGTATTCGTCTCCATGCATTCTGGTAACTGGCTTTCTTGAAGACCACAATAGAAAAACTAAAGTCTTGTGTACCAGGCCTTTGGCCCACCACTCCAGTCCTCATCTCTTTGGCAGAGACACTTGACCTGTCTTGGTATGCACAAGCATATGATTTTACATGACATTCTTACACTAGATTCATGGTTCATGATTCCACGCTGGCCTTGGCTTGTGGAAGGACCACTCCTCTTAACCCAAACTGTGGGTAACCTGGAGTAACGGATGGTTGTCAGCCACCATGTGGGTGCTTGGAATCTTCCTTTGGAAGAGAAGTCAAGACTCTTAGCCATCTCTCTAGCCCCATATACTAAGTTTTTAACTCAATCCTTCCTGATACTGCTTCAGTTAACACTTAGATTATCAGTCCAAATGATTTGATAACCACCAGTGAGTGCCCTATCAATATAGTAGTAGTATCAATTACCAACCCCACACTTGTACTCTTAAGTCACTATTGAACCTCTTGGCTCTACATCCAATACTTTTAACTCTTGCTAGATAACCTATCTCATTTCTACTTAGTTTGTTTTGGTTTTGTTTGTTTTGAGACCAAATCTCTTTATATAGTATAAGGTGTCCCTGAGTTCACTACATAGCCCATGTTGGTATCAAAGTTATTGCAAAGTCACTCTCAGGCAGAGACTACAGGTGTGATCCCAACAACTGGCCCAATGTCTTAGCACACTGAAACAGTTCTAAGTAATCAAATTATCTGTTATCAGTGCACAGTCCTCAATCACCTTTATCCCACTTCCATTACTGCCAGCCTACATCGTCAATACTTCACACTTTGTGACAGCCTTATAAATGTCTTCCAGTTATGCCTCCATCACGCAAGAAAAGGTCTTAAGACTCCATTTTTAAACCCTCTTGTTACCTCCCCACTCAAAACTCATCAGATAAAACAAAATTTCATCAATTGTTCCTCACTATATCTTAAGTTAAAGCTCCTACAAGTTCCCCAAATTACAGACTATCCAACTATCCAACAATTGTAGAATGGATAAATACACTGTGGAATAGTAATATAGGAGACACCTAAGGAGGAATGAAAATAAACTACTGCTATATGCAACAGAAATGAATCTCACAACCATAATTTTAAGCAAAAGAAAACAGACCCAGAGGTATGATTGTATTTATATGAATTACTCTGTTATGACAGAGATTAGAATAATTACTGTGGTTTAGGAGACATCTTCATACTTGGAGGTGACACAAAGGGAGCTTATGGGGATGTAAGAAATGTTAGAAACCTCCTATATATTAAGCTAAGAGGTAGCTGTGTAAATGGATACATAAATAAAAATAAGTTTTAAAACATACTACTCGCCAGACGTTGGTGACACATGCCTTAAATCCCAGCACTCAGGAGGCAGAGGCAGGCGGATCTCTGTGAGTTCGAGGCCAGCCTGGTCTACAGAGCAAATACCACCACAGCCTCCAAAACAATACAGAGAAACCCTGCCTCAAAAAAAAAAAAAAAATACTACTCAGCTGGGCGGTGGTGGTACATACCTTTAATCCCAACATGAAAAGGAGGAAAAGGAGGAGGAGGAGGAGGAGGAGGTAACCATAACCACCATATTACCCTGTGCCTTTAGAGTACCTTATTCAACATATTTCAATAAATAAAGTATTTTAAACCATTTTGGTTTGAATTTTGAGCTCTTCCTGCTAATATTTTCTAGCTTTATTTCTTTCCATTCCTCAACACAAATCTTACTTTTAGCTGATTTAAGCCCCTAAACGCACCTATAAATGCCATTTCTATTACCTTCATCATCTTTACCTATCCTTCAAGTTCTAATCTACACACCAATTCTTTCACAAAGCCTGATCACAGCTGTCATATAATTTGTCATAGATGGATATATATACTTTGTCCCTAGATAAATTCCTGAAGAAAATGGATCATGCATTCATAAACATAGATGTATCCGTCCATTGCTTACCATAAAACCTTGTACAGTGTAAGTGTACAAAGATTCCTGAGTAAATTCTGCTAGTACATGAAAAATACCCTGTAATCTAACCCTCCTTCTCATATACTACTCATTGATATTTCTAGTCACAATCCATCCCAGTTTGCAAATTTAATCATACAAAAATGGTTAAGCCCTTACTACATAAGAGGAACTATCTGCTGTAATACATACACCCACTATGCTACCAAAAAACACAATCCAATTTCAGATGCTGTCATTTGAATTTTCCTAATCACCCAGTCTCTCCACTCCAACAATCCCGTCCCATCCTCTCATCTGGGATCCTACTGCTACCTAACTCCTGTCCTTCTGAGCTTCCTATGAAGCTCCTAACCGGCCTTCTCATCCCTACCTCATTGTGCTACCACAGTGCCCCAGTGCTGAAGGGTGTATCTATTGTCAGACTGAATAAGTAAGCCTAGGGACAGACTCAGTGGTAGAGCACATGCCTAGCATGTGCAAAGCCCCAGTTTCAGTCCTTAGCACTAAGGGAAAGAATGAAGAAGGTCTAATACATAGTTCTTAACTTAAATTCTCTACTCAAAATTCTATAGCTATACATTAATAATATACATTAACATACTCCGCTGCTGTATTAACATAGTTTAATCATCAAAGCCCCACAACCTTGGTCAGAAAGGTACAATAATTATCAATTTCCTGATAAGAAAGCAGAGGTTCAGGAAAGAAAATACTTCTCTATAACAATAGTTCTCCACCTTCCTAATGCTGTGACCCTTTTGCTTGTTTGTTTGTTTTTTTGAGGCAGGATTTCTATGTCTAACAGTCCTGGCTGTCCCAGAACTCATTTCGTAGACCAGGCTGGCCTTGAACTCACATAGATTCACCTGGCTCTGCCTCCAGAGTGTTGGAATTAAAGGCATGGGCCACCACTGCCCCGACATTGATTTTTAATATTTTTTTATGTATTAGGTATACATGTTATGTCTGCATGTATTCCTGCAGGTCAAAAGAGGATGCCAGATCTCATTACAGATGGTTGTGAGCTACCATGTGGT